TCTATCAACGAGTACAATAAAAAAGGTTACCATGTTTACATCCCTGACGGATGTGTTCTTTAATAGCATGCTTCCAATTTTGAAAATGTTATCTCCACGAAGTGATTGGTAGGTAATCAGATCCAATTATGTCTGCCTAAAATCTCAAGCTTACATTCTACGCGGCCTTTAAAATTAATTCAGTCATACCGGCTGTTACACGAAATGGAAACATTAACGCACCCTCGTACAGTAGCGAGTACAAGAATTTCATTTATAATTGAACAAAAATCTTGAATTAAGTTACACACGCATATACCATTTTAAACAAAGCTGGAGTTGCTTATTGATTATGTAATAATATAAACCAAGAAATCTTCAATATATTAAATTCCATGCACTATGATCGCCACAAGACAACAGAGCTATACAGCATTTGCCATTGGTCTTGACACACTTGGAACATAGGACGAGGCGACGAAAATTCCAGACCGCCTGTGTAGCCGTTAAGGACGTTCTTAGTCCGTATCGGAGAATGCTTTCACATTTCCTAGATATATGTAATAGTTTCACGGTTTTTATTATTCATCACTTACAGTATTAGAAACAGATATTAGAATTGACATATGGAACTGAGACAACAACACATTTTGCACTTTACTTGTTCGGGCCGTTAAACGAGATAATAATATGGTCACAGTTCACAGAACATTATATATAATATTAGTACATCGCATTCATATAATGTAGAGGACTATGAATATTGAACGTCGGTAAAGGACTAGAAAGGAGAGCCATTCAATGACCACCTATTCACGGGGTGGCCCTACACCTGCGGGCACGGTGTTAATCAGGAATGGTTATAGGACAAGTGTGGTGAGGAAAGTGGGTGGTTTTTGTGAACGTTCAACTTCAAAATGGACCCATCAGGTACGGCAGAAAAGACGGCTACAGCTAAGCCGTTCCCTAGTCGGGCAGTAAAATTAAAAAACAACGAGTCACAGTAATCTGTTGTGCGGCATACAAATAACTCCGGGATGAGTGGGTGAGAACGCTGAGATAGACGTGTAGTCCGATTGTAGGATTTAATTGGTGAATATAAAAAGCGTAGAACAGTTGCCTATTGCCACATAGTCCATAAGCGCAGCAAAGCCCACATTACGTAATGCTCGAGGGTATCGACAGTTCTGGACACGCTTTCGTCACCCAATAACACATGAACCTGAGCCGTTCGCCTAGATGCAGCCGCAGTCGTCAGAAGAAAATTCTCGAGACTCCCGCTGGAGGCGTTGTAACGGGGGTGCAGTGAAGTATTTTTTGTACCTAAGCCCTTGACTGCGTCTTTCAACAGTCAAGATCGTTTTGTGTTCTCATGGCCAGAACAAGGATCAAGGGTTGCCGATTCTTCGGATGGTTAAGACCACCAAAAGAGCGGGGCATCCAAGTGTCAGCTTAAGCGATCCTATTTTGCTTGTTTATCATTTTCTGTGTATTTTTAAAAGTTCGCAACCAACAAAAGGAATGTTTATAAACTTAATTATATGTTTTTTATATGATTACAACGATCTATGAAACGCGTAATTGTTATTTAATTTTAAATTTTTTAATTCATAGAAGCACTTCTAATTAATGTAATAATCAAAATCAATTACATTTTGTATTGATTATTGAAAGAAATTTTTTTTTTTTCTATATTGTAGATAAGCAAGTAAAACATAATCAATGGACCAAGGCTAACCATTCGATACCCTATCCTAAATAATATCCTGCAGTTGGGTGATGTAATAAGGCATTCAGCATAAGGCATTATATGGGATTTGATCGAAAAAGTTGTCCGATCCGAAGGACCTCCAATAACGTTCACTCTTGGGCTAAAATACGTCCATGCACTAGATTCCCTCAAAATATCTTATAAATTACTGAACACAGAAAACAAAGGCAGGCAGATAACGCACAGATAAGCTTAGAATCACCTTTTTTTAATTGATAGGTACAATAATAAAAGGTGTTTTGCGTCTATCATTAATTTCTTCTGTGTGTAGCATGCATCCGCAATGCTTAATATGCTTAATAAAATATAATGTGAGCAAAAATAGATTTTCTCCTCTCTACAAAGTTTTTCAATGAAGTTTGTTTTTTTTCAGTTTTTTTCAGTTTATCGAAGATGGATCAATCATATCTATATATATACATATATATACATGTTATTGCTGATTATTAAATATTAATTATTTTCACTTCATTCAATTTATTAATAAATTGAATTTTGCTTTGTCCGTGTACGTAATTACGTGCATGTGTAATAGGTAAGGTGTTAATTTTCTTTACGGACACTTTTGTTTTGTTTTTTCAAATAACACAAAAGTTTTAAAGTTAAAATTTCATATTTATTAACTTAATTATTTGATGATATTGACATTGCTTTTCAATGTTGGGGCTGGTATGTGTTATTTTTATTTGAAAAACGAAATGACGGAAACGAATATTTATTTTTATTTTCAGAGATTTTATTTATTCTACGTGCACAACAGTCTTGGATGCAATTCTGTTTACTCTTTTTTTTTTATTTTCCTTATTAGAAGGCAGCTGTGTATAGTAAATATTTTTCGAGATCCTTTTTTTAGAGATTACTAAAAAAGGCAAGCCATCGGACATGACGTGGAAATGATTTTTCAAATTTTGTTAACCTATAGGCGAAAAAAAAAAACCAGGTAGAAAAGAAATAAAGATTAAAAATGAAAAGTACAACTTCCCTAGTTTGTTTGCATGCGTTACAAGTGCAAGAGTATAGCAGATCTGTTTGCTTTGTTTTACACCTTACATATATACAAAGGAACAATGGCTGCACATTATGTGATTGTTTCATTTTGTACATATCATCGAGAATAACACATAGATGTAAGCATTTTTAGCCGTCGTGAGATGACATCAATTCGGCGTTCAATACTTTTACCTTTTATTCACGGAATGCTTGTCACTGAACAGCTGAAATGCATTGAGTCGAAGCGCTTGTCCTTAACTATTTCATGCATTATTACGATCGACCCTTGCTCGCAAAAAGAACAAATAACACATTATAGTCCAATGGGCTCGACCTCGACCTTGGCCTCGGCCTCGGCCTCGCATACAAGCCACCCTGGACTGGTTTGAGATGGTCGTTTATTTTCTTCCTCTTTTCTTCTCCACGAAACCACTTATCTTTTTACCTAAATCTGGCCGTTTTTCTCTTTTCCTTTTCATAGACAGATAGATTATATTATGCATATGCATGGTTGAGTAAATGTTGATTAGAACAATAAAGTCTACGCACTAGTTCTGGAAGATGACTTGGAAGTAAAAGGAATATGAAACGCATATACTGGATGGGATAGATTGACTAACTCTCCCGATGTCAAGCGGATTAAGTAGAGAGATTGCTTGGTGCTAGAAAATAAAAAACTGTATAGTTTTAAAGGCGTAATCTTATGGGGGAATTATACGCACTACACTGCGTTAGCAACGTTTGCAAATGTTTGTGGGCGAAGCTTGAAAGTGAAGTGTATAAATTTTCCATAAATTTTTTGAAAATATTAATAGCATTTATCCAAGTGCGTGCATTATGTTTTTATAAGTGTACACACACACATATGTTACGTATGTATTCAACAACACTCTCCTCGATCCTTCGATTAATATTCTATTAGACGCCTGTAATTAGTAGGCAAAGAGGAAAAGGAAAAGATAACTTTTTCGAAATAGCGGATGGCATCCAATATCCAAAGATAAATCCAGTTTCTTACTTATGTTACTTATGTTATTTCGTTGAATAAAACGTGAAGGGGTCGAGTTACAATAAATCCCCGGTAGATATAGCGTTAGTGCAAGACAGCGAGGATCTCTTTTTTTAACATTATCCATCATTATGCGCAATACGCAAATAGAAATTAAACAAATTCGGTTATCCGGCAGTTTACATCTAATCTAATTTACTACATAAATATTTATAGCATAAAATAATTTGTTGAACGTTTTCGAATTCATAAATAAACAAAGCGCAACATTGCGCAACATTAACTCGATTGACGATATGCCCTACAAATCATCATAATTTCCTTTACACACAACTTTTTTTTGTTATTAAGTTAAATTAAATTATTTAAAGTTTGATTAGAGTTTTAAAAATAAAATAAAAGTCGCCCTGTTTGACTTGACTACCGTAAAAATATTTGACGCCACAGTAAGACATTCGATTAAAAGTCCACTTGAAAGAAACTAAACAAAATGTTTACGGCAAAGTGCCATCCAAATGTAAAAGTGTTCGTGCACTATTTACATAATTATAAATTTGAAGAGAATGGAATGAAATGGAAAAAAGAGGTAAGCAAAAATTAACATAAACATGCGATTATTTCATTTGTTCGCAACAACTAGCGGTGGGAAAATTTATGCAAAACGATTGACAAGTGACTAACTTTTATACGCGACATCCATTCGTACCCATATATACCCATATATGCAAGTTCATCATTTTGACGAGCTTACACATTCAAAAATTAAAATCCTTACAACTCGGAATCGTATTTGATAACATCAGATACATTTGCATAGACGCAATTCAAAGTAGTGTTAGTTAGAAAAAAACCGAAAAAAAAAAAACAAAAACGTAACGCGCTATTCTTAGTGTGTGAAATGCGTCTTTACTACAATTACATATGTAATTTATATATAAATTTCCACCAGAAAAATTTTCGCATATTTACCTTGGATTAGAATTGAAGCACGATCCGCCTTAAAAGTTGATTGTCTTGCTTTACATAGGAATTTTACTTAATTGCAAACGCAATCAATTTCTATTAGCATTTCAAACATCTATTAATCGATCTATTTGTTAGTCACTTATAATATTCACCTTTAGCAAGGTGTTTACAAATTCCTAAACAAAAAAAAAAAGCGTAGCTTGCTGTTTTTCAATAAAATTTCTCCCTTAGTAGAGTTGAGAGTTAAGAATCTCCGATCTCTTATCGGATGCGTGGCGCATAGATTGCTTTCAGTTGTGAGAGTGTGCTATTTTTGTGTGCGAATTTTTTATGCATTTGTTGTTGAAGTTGATTCAAAAACTTGCATCGAACTGTCGATCGCCTTCTCGATCTATTTGTTGTTGCATTTCGGTTGATGGGTTCCTTAGAATTCCGCAGAAATCTTGGGTTCACGAAAAACGCACGCATGGACATGGACCAGTTTCAATTTACTATGTTATAAGAAATAAACAGGACAAGTGATAGATTCTATTAAAATTCTATTAAAATAACAATGAATGTCCATCGATGTGCTGCTGTACAAACAAAGGCGAAACAAAGGATGTTACTTACATATTTATTAGAGAATTTGTTATAAAACGTTTGCCATGTGTTCTGTTCACATACGCATACATTAATATGTAATATTGATAAGTAGAACGCATGCAGCGTAGATAGATGGTAAAGCAAGGAGATTTCTAGAGAGGAAGGTTTAGAAAAATATTAAATAGCCTTCGATTTCCATTTCCATTGCCTGCCCGAATTTTATACGATTTTTGAAATTTTCCACCAAAATGCTTGAATTCAATGTCAATTCTATTCTGTATCCAAATGAACTCAAATATGAGCGCAATTCGAAAACAACTAATATTTTATTTGTTTTGAAAGTTCGGAGACAAAGGTGTTCTGTTCTGTGTTCGATATCGATGTCGATGTCGATATCGACTTTAAAGTTTCTTTTTGTAAATAAATTCTAAGTGTGGTGTATGTAAGACATCAAACTGATTTTATGTTGTGGTTTTGAAAGTAGTTTTTATAGATACTTACATAAAATGCTGCCTTCTTTTTTTTTTTTAGTTTGCTTTTTCTCCGAAATGATAAAGTTTCTTTTTAAAGAAATTTTTAGCAAGAGAGAAAAGGTTATTGAACGCACACACATAAGAAAGATAAATAATAATAAAATTACAAAAAAAAAAAAAAATAAATAAAAATAAATAAAAAGAAAGAAAAAAAAAAAAAAAAAGAAGCAAGTGAAAGGCAAAGCAAATGACATAATACGAACAGGAAAGATACCCTAACGACATTTAATGATTAATACGCCTTTCTAGCTTATACTAGACGTCAATCCGGTTCTGTTAAGGACTACTTGGACGTTCCGGATGCAAATCGAAACAGCGATTCATCTATAATTCATCCCTATTTGTTATCTTTTAAATTCAATCTTAAATTTAAAGATTTGACTTTGTTCGCATCCTATGACATCGCGCATACATACGCACATCTGCAGAGTTCTTCTCATTACGTAATGACTTGCTGATATCAGCAATCAAACGTTTTTTTTTTTTTTATTTTTTTATTTTTTTTTTTGTGGTTAAAGACTTTGCGACTTTGTATCTGGTTGCCCAGTTATAAAGTATCAGCTTTTTAAGCTGCGTTTTTCATATTAAAGTTAAGCATCAAACTTATAAATAAGAAAGAAGGCTCACAACACAGGCTCTCGTGTTTTATTATTTATTATTCTATCTCTTTTTCTTTTCTTTGGGTTTCTTTCTTTGACTTGTGAAAATTTATGATTTCTTCGAATCTGTCTCTTGAATTCTTTGCAGAATTTTTCTGAGGCCAGTGTGCAATAATTTCTGTCAGTGTATAACGATGGGCAGTGTTTAATGAACCGGTTTTTTATATATTTATTCCTTTAACTGACCATAAGTGAATCCCGTCTTGTTTCTCCTTTTTTTTTTTTTTTTTTTTTTTTTTTGTGTTTTTGCTTCTTTGATGCCAACAATTTGATCTTCTATTTCGGTTGAATGTGTGTTTTAAATTTTCTTATTTTACTTCTTTTTTTTTTTTTTTTTTTTTGTTCTTCAGCATGATTTTATTTAAAGCCGATAGGTAGCCAGAGTAACCTGGTGTGCAATTATAGTGAATTGAATAAATTTTGCACTTTTTACTTGTTATTATTTCTCGTCTTGTTTTAAACACTCTCTTGATTATAGACATTTAGGTAAACAGATATATGTACACGAATATATAGTTGAATGTAAATGTACACTGTTGAGGTAGATGATGGCACTAGAAAATTTCTTAGGTAGGATGCTGTACAAACTAGATTTAAGCAATTATATATATATATATATATATATAACGATCTGAAATATAAGATGTATGTGTCCTCGCTAACGTGCGCGAGGATCCGTCCAAGCATTTTTTTAAATGAAGTGGAAATTTCGACACTTATCTTCATAGTTAAACAGAGATTATGGTCGCGTTAATTATGTCAATCAGTCAATCAGTCAGTTTCAGCATACATATCTGACAGAATAGGAAAGTATCCGAGCAATAGTTATAAATGACTTTCATATTTGATAAATAGCCAGATGCAGATGTCTATTGACATCACTTTCCATACAACCTAATAATTTTAGCCCAAAATTTTTTCAATACTATTGTGATATTCATTTACAATTCTAGCCATGCTTGCTTGTGTTGTGGTATGTTAAGGTTTATGGGGAAAGAAAATGTAAAAGCATGCACTGGTACAAAGATAATTTTGATTGTGGTGGTGTGCTGACTTTGATTTAAGCCACAATTGCCGCCATGATCATCAAGTACCAAACTGTTCTTGCACCGTTTAAGTCTGGCTAAACTATTTTCAACATCCTCAACATGCTTTCAGCTTTGGTCCGAAGACTGAACCGGTAAGAGTTAGTTATATGTTGTCAATTTATTGTTAAACGACAATCTTTACCAACAATAATAATAATAATAATAATAACAATAATAATAATAATAATAATAATAATAATAATAATAATAACAACAACAAAAATTGAAGCTTAAACTGGTCAATACACATGCACAATTGTGGAATACATTAAGTTCAATTCACTTCTTTGTTTTGGACCTAAAGTTATGGTAAATGTGTTTGCAGAGAGTGCGTTTGATTGTAAGTCGCTATTTTGCCATTGTTCTTGCTGTGTGGCGTGCCGTTGCCAGTCAAAGCCCAGTTTTTCTTCTGGCTGCTTTAATTTTATAAAAATAGAGCCAAAGTTACTAGTTTCTCTACTAGCCATCGTCTACATACATATTAACAATTTTTTTCTATTTATGTTAATCGTAGTACAACACAGCAAAGCAAAATACATCTTTTTTACCATTTTTTTATTTTTTTTTTTTTTTTGTTTTTTTCATCCGATTAAAATTTGCGCTCATGTATACGATTATTCTTGCTATTGCTATTTTATTTCGCGATTCTATCGATACTAAAATTGATGAGATTTTTAAGGCCACAAGGTCGATCGCCATGCACATATATTAATTTTTTCATTCTATATGTGTTAGCTCGAAAAGTTCAGTTTAGTGAAACCCCACCCACCACCCCCGTTAAATTATATATACATATGCTTGATAAATGCAAGAATTTACGATAACTTAGTCTGATATTCGCAGGCTTAGATTATCATTTAAATTAACGCAGAATACTACTACTTTCAAAGGAGCAAAGGATCATCTCATACATAAAAATGGCCGCGATCGTGAAAGAAAATTGAACCTGAAAGAGAAAACTTTAAGAGAAGGGCAACGATTTTAATATATTCTCAAAGTTACAAGACATTACGGCCCGTTAGAGGATGTAATTTGAAGTTTTATGTATACGCGTTCAACCCCCAAAGGATCGTTTCATCTCGTCATCAATTTCTGCTTTCTGCTTTCTGCGTGAAAGGAAGTTTGCTTCGTTTGCTTCGCTTATGCGATTTCGTCGTATTTTACTTACGCGCAAAATGATAAAGTATTCGAAGTTCGCCTTTAAGCGTATCTTAATATGCGCGAATTTTATTCGATTTCTATTTTTTCAGTTGTTAGTTTAGAATCTTTTTACAAACACAAACACGTTTTGCCATTTGAAAACCGTCAAGACCAAGTAATAGCAAATTATAAAAACAATTTATAATATATATATATATATATATATGTATATGTGTGTGTGTGTGTGTGTGTGTGTGTGTGTGTGTGCACAATAATACAAACATAGGACGCGATGTTGTCCGTATATGCATGCACATGTACAGACATCAATGGAAACGAATTTCTCTTTTATTTCTTGTTTTCTCTTTAATTGATACACGTAATTACTTACTGAAATTGCTTTTAATGCTATTGAAAATTAATGGCAACACAATCCTTTCAATTGATTGCCATTTTTCGGCTTATAATAGAAAAACTTTTAAATAGTATATGCTTAATTAATTACCGTATTCATGGCTAGCATAGGCACGCATCATATATCGTATCGTATTGTTAAATACTTTGACACCAACACACAGACACGGTACATGTTAATGTAAAAATTTTATCTATAATTGGCAGCTAGAACTCGGAATTAAACATAGTCTAAAGGAAGAACATTCTATTGTGTTGCAGTAAAAATGTAATCATTCGGGGTTTATGCTTCGCACATACACTTCAATAGCTCATTGTTATGCAGTTTCACAACAACACATTGCAGACAACTAACACAGCGACTAAAGTCGTATTTACTCCACTTTTGGAAGAAACGGGGAAGTGATTAATTTATTTTGATAAGTTGACGAGAATTGGCTTAACGGCCGTCTCATGCTGAGTTTGTCAAAAATCATAACGAGATGAATGTGCGAAAATTGTTTCCTTCAAAATATTTTTTGAAATTTTAATAGTCAAAAGGACTAAATTGATTTTTCTACCCAGCCCCGGTGAACATATCTCAGGCGATGATATCACAAATCTAATATACCTTTAGCGGATATAATGTAATGTTAATGATCGGCAAATACATGGACGCGATAATTTTACTAATTAACTAATTTTACTAATTTACTAACTAAACAAATATATACATAATATACATAAATACCAGATACATTTCGCTTAATAAACAACGTGTCCGAGCCGACGCACTCCTTACAATAATTATAAAAAAAACATCATTTATATAAAATTCATGATTTGTCGGAACTTATAAGTAACTAAATCAGTTATAATATTCTAGAAAGGATATGTACGTTAACGTTAATCTTTGCTGAGCGACTGAAGTTTTCATTGCTTGGCCGTTACACCGTCGATAGATCCATTAAAGATGATCGCTTCTAATATTTTTCCTGGATCAATGTAAGCATTTTTGTTCATTCAGCGGACTAGGCAAACCAATATTTGCACGCATTTTGGGATTAACTCCTCGTACACCTATGTCAACCATGTGTCAACATAGGATCGACAAATGATCAATTAAGACGTTCGTGGTTGGTAAAACAAAATAAGTATAAATGACGTCAAATTTCCTGGGTTAGGTACATTCCATTTTCGATTTTCGGATTTTTTTTCGGTTTTTTTTTTTTTTTTATGTCATCTAAAATGTTGACTGTGGCATGGGGCGAGTCTATTTTGGGCAAAAAAAAAAAAAAAAAAAAAAAATGGTATAAGTAGTACAAAGCGCTTCACAGAAGGCTGAGAAAATGTCGCTGACTATGGCCGCCCTGGCTGGTCCAGCACGTCAACAACCGGTGAAAACGTTGAAGCAGTGAAGAAACTTACTATGCAGAATGATCGAATCACCGTTGGGGAAATTGCTGAGGATGTCGGCAATCGGTAAACTCAAGTCGTGCAATTTTTTCAGATGGTGTGGGCATGAAACGTGTGACAGCGAAGATTGTACCCAAATTGCAGCCCATTGTCATTGGTTGGTTGTAATTTTTTTCCCAAAACCAACACCATAATCATGCCTCAGCTACAGTTACCACGGAACACGGCCAACTACAAGTTTTGCCTTTTCCCAAAACTGAAACGAGCCATGAAAGGACTGGGAAAAGCGCTGGCACAAATGTATTATAACTAAGGCAGATAATATTTTTATAGTATTTTTCGAGAAAAAGAAACAATCATCATCAGTATTTTTAAGCACACCTCGTGTGTATGTATACTGCAGAGGGTTTAGAAAGATATATTAAAGGGATTGAGCACATAGACAGTAATTTCTTTACTAAATCGTCCTATTACGAATTACTTAATTACTTTCGTACAAACTAAACCGTTATCAAAATTTAATATGAATTCGTCTAATTTTAATATGTCGGCCAATGCTAGTAAATTTTCAGATGTTAAAAGTTAAATAATTACCGATGTATCCATCGCTTATTATTAGTTGCCATGGTTTGTTACAAACCCTTATAACAATGATTTTGCTTTTCATTGTGTTTAAAAACAGCATTGAACGTAAGTGGATATATAGGACTAGCGCTAGTTAAATGCTTGCCCGATTTTTGCCACCAAAACCGCAAATATTGTAATCATTGTGATTATATCCAATTAGTATAGACAAGTGCAACTTTACAGTTATAGAATAGAAGTTTGGCTACCAAGTAAAAATTAAACAATGAGAGTGTAGGAAAGCACATATATACCCTGTAACTGAACCAAGATAGAATCATGAACGCTTGACGTATATATTTTTAGTTAGGGGTTATTGTTTAAGTTTACAAATGGACACAAAAATAGGAACAAAGATAAACTTATAATCCGTAACAAATATCAATATAAATAAAACTTGGAGTAAATACTTGGCGAAAGTTGTTGAAAATTCGGCGCAAAAGTGATCCGTCACAAAAACAAACTGGAGTACAGTAAGTAAAGATGTTTAAGTTACAGGAGATATTGGAATAAAAGCCAATACTCTATGATTTGCTGCGTCCATCCAAAATGCTTGCAATTAATAAGCCAAGTACGTTTCGTATGCATGCGAGCGCAACGACCTACTAGTACTAAGCTCAATTGATTTAGAACGCTCATCTCTTCTTAATTGACGTCACAATGGCAGGTACTCTGAATTTGTATTTTTTGTTCTTTTTCTTTCATTTCTTGGCTTCGTAAAAATTAACTGACAGAGAAATAGACGACCACACCCCTCCAATGGGAGATTGCGGACTTAAGATATGAAAATGTAATATGTAATAATGTAAGAAAATTGAGGTAACCTTAGAGAATATATCTCTAATGCCATCAATAATCGCAGAAATATTTTTCGATCGATTTGCGGCCCCGTCAATTCGCCGTTGTTTATCAGATTTTTGCCAATCTTGCCCCAAAAGTGCTTTCTATCTCAATTATTGGCACCGTCGTATACGTATTTTCAGGTGTTATAACGAATATGAATAGTTGGTTAACACACACAGCACACTTCGTGGCCAAATTGCAATTCGTCACCTGTTCTCGCATAAAACTTGAACTGGAGCCTGAAGCCCCTATTAAAAACCCGTGCATCTTTTCGGGCTCATCTGTTGGTAGTGAACTTCGATCGCATTGCATATATATTTAAGCCAAGTCAGGATTCGACAATTCGAATTGTAAATGAAATTCGCGTTGAATTCGAGGTGAATGAAAGAACATTGTTAACAAGATTTAAAAATCAATGGTTATAATCTAAAGATTACATATGCAGCACAGTAGATAGATACGATTTAAAATGGATCGAAACATCGTAACATAATACACATATATGTACATCGTATATACGATGTGTAATTATTATCCACTTAGCAACTTTTTTGTGTTGTTGATCTATTTCTTTCTGTTTATGATGCGAAAGCAATTTCCTGTACGTAAGCTGTTGAATATGTCGACATACTTATGGCCAGAGAGTATACTATAATTAACATTAAATAACAATTTAACAAACTGATCACGCATTAAACTGATTTTTATTGGCGTAAAAATAAATTTTTAAAAAGAATTTTGACACCATTGAGCAAAAACTACTCGAAAAGAATTTCATCGTATCAAAGTGGGATAAGAACGAAGAATAAAGATCTTTCCTGGAATCAATAAAATGATTATTTGCTGAAAATTTTTTCTGCTAATTAATGATTTAAAGATTTCATTTTTTTATTAAATTAATGATGAATTAAATAAAAAACAATTTATTTTTCACAAAAAAAAAGAGAAAGAGGAAAGAAAAAGAAAAAACTGAAACCATAAAAGACCAGAAAAGAATGTGAAATGATTTTGCACTCATTTCATCGTCAAAGAAGAAAGCATTTAAAGCCATAATTAAATTTACAAAAAAAAAAAAAAGAAAGAAAGAAAAAATCAACAACAGGAACAATAAAAATTCACCACGTTCTAATAGCGAATGTATTTGAATGACTACATTAACACCTATATATACATATACATATACATATATATATATATATATATATATATATATATACGTATAGACATACTGGTCCGTTTTTTTTTTTTCTTCTAATTTTATTAAATTCAAAAAATTATAAACGATTTAGAAAAGCAAAAGAGAGCTGTGAGTGCAGTGCAAAAAAAAAAAACAGAAAAAAAAACCACTCAACTACGCTGGCATTACGATCAATCTAGTAGTACATAGCAGTAACAGTAGTAGTTGCTTGAGAGTGTTAGTAAATAATGTTAATATTTTTTAAAAGACTGTTAAAAATGTACTCACATACATAAGATCATAATTAAGTGAGAGACAAGAACAACTCTCAGCTTTTAAAAATGTTACTTCGTCTGCCACACACGCAAACATAGAACTACACCGTACATAAATATATATATATATATATACATAACGTCAAATTGAGCAGTAGAGAGTTACAAACATTCTCTATGTATATATTTCTGAACATAAATTTAGTTAAGCACTGAAGTGCACACATAAGCACGCAGGCTCATGGATATAAGCATAAAATCAAAGAGAGTACATTGACTGACATAGAGGTAATATACGTTATATATATACATATATGTGTCTAAATGTTTGTAATATATTTACGTGTGTGTGCCTGTGTGTGTGTGTGTGTTGTGTTTGTGTTTGTGTGTGTGTGTGTGTGTGTGTGTGTGTGTGTGCGTTTATGTGTGCGATGTATATATATATATATATATATTAGTTAAAAATCTATATATGCGTTTATTTGCTCATACACATGCATGCGGCAAACATTGTATTTATTTAATAATAATAATAATAATAATAACAAAATAGTATTAGTAGTAGTGGTAGCAGTAGTAGTTGTTGTTGTGATTATGATTATCGGCATAGAGTATAAGAAACAGAAAAGAATCACAAGCACAAACATTCAATTTTTCGTATTCACCACTGACTGGGATATAAAAGCAGTTGAGCATCACTACAACCATTCAAAGTGATTTTTGTTACTGACCGCAGTGCAACAAACACACACCAACCAACCAGTCAACAAGCCATTTCTTACAAAGTTTTTTTTATCAATTTTTATTATTATTTCATTTTGCATTTTTATCTGATTTCTTCAGCTTAAGTGTTTGATTGAAATTTTTGGCTTTGAAGAAAACGCGTTTACAGTGGAAAATTTTTTATTTATTAATTTATTTATTTACCTTTTTCTGTTTTTGATTTTCTATTAAAGTCTTTGGAAAAGAAGAAAAAAAAAAACGCCTAATTCTGGTCTTATTGTGTGTGTGGTGCAAGTAGTTGAATTGCTCAAAATAAAAGAAACATTTTTGAAATTGTGATATTTTTGTTTTTGTTTTTTTTTTTTTTTTTTTTTTTCTTTTAAACAAAACACATATTTTGTTTGGTTGTGTTTTAATTGACCCAAAAACATAGATAGCAAGTGAGCTAATTTTAAGGTAAGTTTTTTATATATATACATATATATATATATTAAAGTTGTGTTTTAATTCTATTTCGAAAATTTGAATATATATATATGTATACTATATGTATAATGAAATAAGTTTTTAAGAAGAGAATTCAATTTAATAAAATACAAGAAGAGTAGTGTGACTGACTCGTGAAAAGTATCACAATGTAAATAAGAAATATAAAATGATTTTCACAAAAAATAAATTTATCTTAAGGTTATATAGAAGAACACACGCTTGTCTTAAGTTTCGAATAAACTATTTTAAGCTACTTTACGTACGCGACTCCTGTTAACTTAATCGCAAACAACCACAGATTTTGTAAATTGTAGTGCGTTTGGCGCTATGTTTAGCGATCCGCCGGTCTTTCTGTCCTTTGATACTGACTTTATATCGTACAAATGCTCTAAGTGGAGTATTAAATTTGGCATCATACTATTCGTTATTCTCTTAGACAAATGAACTGTGAAAATTGGCCAAGAAACCGAAGCGCATACATGCAATAAGTGAAAATCCTCAACCAAAAGCAACCATATTGGAATATTTTCGGGAGAGAACCCCTGTTAAGCGTTTAAATTTTTTTAAGTTTTACATCAGTCTATTAGTCGTATTTAGCATATTTAGCGTGAATACGTAAAGCAAGCTTTCAAAAATCATTAATCCAAGTACAATATCCGAAAGAACTGTTTCATGCAAGGAAAAGGGAAATATTTACGACTTCTTTGCAATAAATGCGATAATGTTTTCACGTATTTCACTTGTTTCGCATCCAATTTTGCTGGGGCTGGCTCATAAAATTTCATCTGCAAATCGTTTAACGATTCATCGATGATTTGGCAAGGCCAAATTCCGCGAACACGCCGCAAAAATAATATTCTAACTTATGATTATATGTGCCGGGTATGTCCGCACATTTTTTAATAACAAAACTTAAACTTCATACTGCGTAAGCAGGCAGGCTCAAGTGCCAAATTGTTTCAATATAGTCAGCATCTCACAACAAAACTAATTCTTAGCAAATGAATCCTTTTGCCGCAGACTGCAAGTCTGCTTTCGATTTACACCAAGAGACGCACTAAGCTTTTCGTAAAAATATCTCGAAAAGTCTCGAAAAACAATGACAACGATCAATGGAGCGCATAACATAACCATAACTTTGGACTGCACCCGTACAATATGTTTGTTATGATTACTTCTTATTTCTTGTGCTTCTCTAAAATATCATTGCACGTGCACCTACCTCTCTTCCCATAAAACTAATCGAAAATTTTGACACTTTCACAATCGTTTTCCTATTTTCATTTATAAGCAATGTTAAATAAAAGCGAGCATTCAGTCAATGATTTGAATATAAAATTACTCTTAAACGATTACAATTTGAATGACAATTATTGCCGGATACTTCAACTTTGTCAATCGCTGTATGCGTATCCGTTTGAAAAAGTCTTTCTCTTGTCTTATCAGATTTGAGATCTAAAGGAAACCTTTATTAGAAAAAACATTCCGAAAAATTTTCTACCATCAAACCTCTTTTGTAAATGAATTTCTTGAATAAATTCCATCGCTATTGTTGCTTCCGAACGGATTTTACACACAAGAACATATTAAGACTGATCATAAAAAGATAATATTAATACTAAGCTCTTATGAATGTAAATTGAATGAATGAATAAAGTATGGAAAACTAGAAGGATTCGACTCATTTTAAACTCATAGACATTTCACTGTCATTTCACTCTTCCGTTTCTTCTTCTTCCCTTCATATAAAAAATCGAACTTAAAAATGAAAAAAGACAATCGCGTTACGAATGATATAGACAAAAAGGCTTTAGATAGATTTACAGAGGCATAGAGAGCTCATCAAATCGTTTATTAAAAGTCTTTGCAATCGAAATGAGATTAAAGAAAAAAATTCTTATGTATACATACATATATAAAATATTTACAAAATTATTAGCATTGACATTGATCATATGTATATATATATATACATGTGTATATATATTTGTATATATATATGTGTGCATATATATGTGTATATATAAATATGTATAATTATGTATATATGTAGATATTATGTACAAAAACGTATATAAACATAGATGCATGACATTAGGTTACACAAAATAAACATAAAAAAATCTAATTTTACGTGTTAGACTAGTTTCTAGACTTTAATAAAAGTCCTTGAAAAAAAAAAAAAAAAAAAATTCTAAACAAGATTAAGAAATATACGAAAATAATAAAAGAACTTAGCGATCATTTCAATACCGACTGAAAGAAGAAAAATATATAAATTTACATATGTACATAGAGATACTGGTAGAAATAAATATCAAGAACATGCATGCAAAAAATTAAATCTGTTTTTTTCCCCCTAATAAACTTTAGCAGAGCAGTACTGTACCCACTACCATTGACAGTCAGTATGCATACCGGGCATATTGATTGAATTGACAATTGCATGCATATACACTTATGCTTCTATGCATGTATATGCGCATAAAATTAGTTAAAAAAAAAAAAAAACACAATTATTCAATTTACTAGACCAGCTGCAATCAAATGACATTTCAAGACTATGTATTGGATAATGTTAATACATATTATATTTCTATAATATGGTGACTTTTTGCCGTTTCGCTTGGGATCTGCTTTAGAATGGCAAAGTAATGAAAAGACTTTTATAAAAACGTGATTAAGTTGTAGTTTCTGTTTTCTGCTAGTATTTATTTACCGTTTAGTTTTATTTAATTTACTTACATTGAGACCTTTACAGTTTGAAAGACGTACAAGCAAGCGTACAAGCAAATCGATTGTCATGTCAAAAGCTTGGCACACCTAACCGCTTATCACTCTATACGTTCGCATATGCGTCCGCTGCAAAATCTACAATCATAGCATCAGATCAGACCTTAGATGTATTCACATTTTAGACAAGAATACATACTTGAATTTTTTAAAAAGGCAACAATTAATTGCCAGTGCTGCTGTAGTATCTTCATAAAAACTCTACATTGTGCTTTATCTCTTACTATGAATGAAAGTTGAGAAGGAACGAACAAACTTACTTCTATTGAGTGCATTTGAAAGAATGTACAGTTTAAGCGTTATTAGGACGAAGAAGAAAAGAAGCGGGGAGAGAACAAGATTGGCATTTTCATCAATGCATTTGAAAGCATGCCAGACTCCTTCTGTTCACTTCTTACTTATAACTGCTAAGAATTTTTGAAGGAAAATATCTTATATCAAATTTGCAATTGCAACTATATTTAGCTCCCATAGGAAGCTGTCGGACTTTGTTTAAAACGTGGTACTCAAGAAGGACAGACGGACGGACATAATTAAATAGATTTAACGAAAGGTATATATTTTATGGAATCCATTTCCGTACAAGTCCGAAAATAAAATTAATATACCTTTGCCTTCCAGTAGGGCAATATTAAAAAACCGCTACAACATCCATAACAACAACTATAGATATGAAAAGTCATTGTACGGTAGCACGAGCTTAAGCATCTGTTTAATATGGTTCACGTCCTCCTTATTTTGAAAACCATTTTGTTAAATGTTTTATGACCAAATTCGGGAAACTTGTTTTCTCGTTTCACCCCAATATAAGGCAGTAGTAGTTTATTGAATAACATAAAATTGTTTTTCATGTTGATTTATGAAAATAAACAAGTTTTGAGCTATACATATACATATACATATATATATATATGTAATGTTTATATATAAGTGTGCGCATATTCAGGTAGGTGTTGACAATTATATTAATATCGTAATTTGTTTTAAATAACTTAATTTATTTAAGAGGTGTCTTGACGCTGCTGGTAAATCGAACAAAGATATCAAGCATAAAATACTAAATAAATAAATTCCTAACGATTCCTTATTGTTGGGTTAAATTAAAATGCATTCATTTTCCCAGATATTCCATATAACAACTCTTTTTACACGAATAATGAGATGAATTCGTATAAATTAGATCCATTCGAAAAATTCTTCCTCATTTGTAGTTCTCGAAAAGCGTTACGCTCCTTCTTATAGAAGCATGCGCATATGTTTCAACTTGCTTAGATCTTCAAGCTTTCAGGGAACAACTGCAAATGTATCGAAAAATTGGTAAGAAGTTAAATCGAATTTAAACCTCCACTCATCCATAGTTAATATGGCAATAAACAAATATTTTTTTATTTTAAATAATTCCTTTATATATTTACATAAGAAAATTTGATATAACATGAACACTCTTAAAATCAGTGGCTTTAGAGTTCAACTTTAAAACTACCCTATAGGGTAGTTCTGATTTATACATACGATCTTTTAATTTGACTTATTCAGAAATTCCTAAACGTCAGGAGTCTTTAAAGTTGTTACCATTATGTTATGCAATTCATTAACGTTACTTCTTCTCACTAAGCATTGAATTGTAAGCTATGCAAATCGATGGCGATGGTTAACTAAAATTTAATCTCTGAGTGTACAACATCCCATACGCAAAACGCAGAAGAACTTGAGATCAACCCAGTTTTTATTATACCGATCCCTGCAAAATCAATTCAAAATGACTTTTTGAATCGGTTTAAGTTTTTTTGTCCGTCTGTCCCTTCCGGCTTTTGCGTTCAACCTACACACCACAATTTTTGAGATGACGAAGAAACCACCTCTATTAAGAATGGTTCGAGTTGGACCACTGTTTCGACGTCATCATACGAATAACTTTATGTCGGTGTAAGATATTTAATGATGAGCCCATTATTGTATCTTAACTTGTTGATATATTAATCATTGCAATCACCAGCAAATACAATGCATTTGCTTTCATCGTTCACCAGGGAAACGGTTCCTATAAGGATCTTTAAATTTATTTACCCATAAGTAGTATTCTTATGCCAGTATGACTGGCAATTCTTTTGAATATCTCGCCTTTGTATTTAAACTGTATCGAGTTAAAGGTTTAACAGGTTGTGTTAAAGAAAAGAAAACCGATTTCAAACATTGAGAATGAAGCATCAGATCAGGAATGCATTTCTATAAATTCTTTATGGAATTTTTTTTAACCCTTTTTGTATATAATTTCGAAGAGACCAATGAAATTAAAATTATAATTTGTTTACAAGTTTTTATAGAAAGAGCGAAAAAAACGGAAAAAGATAGCAGAGCTAAAGCGCAAAATGCAAATAGTTAACAATAATCATCAAAACGATGATGATGATAAATGTTGTTTTTTTTTTTTTTTTGCTTATTTTTATATAATGCTGTCAAAGCTGTCATTTGGAAGCATTTAATGATTATAAAAACATTTTTAATGACTCTAAATTAATATATGAATAAATTTGCAGTTGCAACAAAAGCTTAAACTATTTGAAAAAAAGTATGAAAATGACTCGAAGCAATAATTTGCATTTTAATTTTTAGGTTTTTAGGTGATGTAAAAAATGGGGTATAAATGCAAGGTTCCGCGGATATTGCGGAAAATACAAATAACAGTAAATTTGCAAAGTTGACTGCTTTAGTTGAGAAAAAGTGCTTAAAAGTGGTTAAGCAGAATCCTTTTCCCTCATTTACAGAAACCTAATGCGTATGACTCTTATATCATCACAAATTGCAATAAATAGTGCATTTTTTTTTGTTTCTGTATATACTTCAGTAAGTAATTTTTGATCACTTTCAATAACAGTGATTTCGGGGGAACAAGGAACGGACATTCTTCTAGTAGAAAAGCGAAAGCATAAAAGTTAGCAGATGATTTTTGAGGGTTAAAATGCTTGAAAATACATGTCTGGCTTTTACAAATATTTAATTATCCTATGTCGTATCGTATGTCTACAGGCTGGGAAAAAAACGTTCGGTGAAGAGGTACCATCCGAACTGCAACTGTCATGATTTCTAGTCTATGAATAAATTTCTTCTTTCAAGTCTTAATTCTTCATCCTAACATCGATTGTTCAAGATAGCTTTAGTGCTTCCAGTTATCGGTCTAATAATGTATGATTCAAGATTGTCAAGCAATTAAACGGATATTATTTTTGTTTGCTTCTACATTTCGCCAATGCCATATCTTCCGTCGGGCAAAGGAGTAGTTAATCATCTTACATAATACGCTGTATAATAATTTAACGCAGCCTTCTTTCGCTGGAAGAAATTTCTTTTGCTTTTCATTTTTTAACATAAGCATCAATTGTTTTATAAATTTTTCCTAAATATCTTTTGTTGTTATTTCTACCCCTAATGTTTTAATTAAATTTTCAATTTACGAGTGCCTTGTTTTCTTGATCAGATTTAAAACGTTGAACTTGTACTTGGCTCGCGGTGACACCATCAAAACCACACCAACACGACTCTTACGATTGAATTAAATTTGTAGAACAATTCTCTTTCCTCATTTTTTCCTTTTTCTAAATCAAGTGACGTTAAAAAAATGCGCACTTCCGTCAGTTAAAATGTGAACATTCGACCGACCTACTATAGCCAGCAATTTAATTAAACATTTAATCGAATTAACGGCAATTTATAAATGAAAAAAGAAAAAAAGAGAAAAAGACAGAGAAAGATGACTACTTTATTATTATAAGATGTTGCAATACCAGTTAATCTGTAATCTGTAGTAACATTTAAGCGTCACATTTACTGCACTGATTGGTCTGTCTGCCTCTGCTCACTACATGCATCGTCTTCAGCTCAGCATTCTTATTCGGTTATAATACGAGCGAGAGACATTCAAACAAGCCTTCTTCTTGCACTTTACATATATATATATATATTGTGTAATATGAATAAATGCAGTAAATGCAGTAAAACATTTTTTAAAAGTGTACATTTTTCCTGTTTCTCTCATTCATCGCATCAACATAAATAGCAACTTGGTTATCACAATTATCGCGTAAACTGTTGGAGCTGCAGAGCTGTACAAAGTCAACATATAACCAACTTGACTTTTAAGGTTCTTTTATCGCCACCTAGCTTCAACGATTTATTAAGTAAACTCGTGTTAGCTAATTGCGTACAGTCGTTGTTAAGCTATGCTGGAGTTACAATTATACCTACCTACTATCACATGACTTTAAGTCTTAGCTTGAGGGCGAAAAATATTGATTAACAACGTAAACAATTTAAATTTATGTTCACTCATTTAAAACAATTGGATTACATTAAACAGTTATGGAATGAATGCAACATTTTTTGAATGACTTTTTACGAATTTTATTTCATAATGAATTTTTGTATCTTTCACTATGCATTTCATTTCAGCCATGAAGTTCCATTTAGTAATTTTATCCGCCCTATTGGCGAGTGCTCTTACTCTTCCCGTACCCGATGAGGAAGTGTCGCCCGTTCAGACGGTACCCGAAGTTAAATCTGAAGTAGTACAAACATCTGAAGATAAAGTGGCAGAGGTGATTATGCCTGAATCACGTTCGGTCGGCGAGAAGGATGCACAGACGCATGCTAAATCTTTCGAAGAGAAGAAACCGGAGTTGCCTGCCAGCAGTCTCGACGCTGAATTATCACCCCAAGCCGTGCCGGAAAAGAAAGAAGAACAAAAACCTGAGAAAAAACAGGAGGAAAGAAAAGAAGAAAAGCTACAAAAGCCGCAACCACAGCAACCAGAACAGAAGTTAGAGAAAAAGAAACAAGAGTCTTTAGAGAAACAGAACCGTAGCGAAGAAGTTGTTGAAGAGGCCAAAGCTTTGCCTGTAGTACACGCTCCGGTTTCAGCTGTAGAGCATGAGCAAAAACAATTTGTTGATGAAGTTAAGCCGGCTGTACATGAAACGCGTTCAGAAAGCCAATCGGCGGCTTTTGTTGAAGCAATCGTGCCAGCTGAGCAGAAAAAAGAGGAGCTTTCAGTAGCTGAATCACAAGCTGAAATCAAAACTGAACTACCTGCCGGCAGCCCAATTGCCTTGGCCGAAGAAAAGCGAGAAGAAACTTCGACACGCCAAGAACGCACTGCCGAAGAGAAACATCAAGAGGCCGCTCAAGAACCAGCACCAGCATCAGCCGTCGCGCCAGTCTCTGTTTATGCTGAACATTCGACTGATGTGAAAAGCCTCAAATCTGAAGATCCTGTAGCTCAAGAGTCTAAACACGGGGGTGAGGTTGTAGCTCCTGAAGGTAAATCCCTTGCCAGTTCTGAAAAGAAAGCTGAAGAGCAACCACAGCCGCCAGCAAGCGAACAAATAGAATTGAAACAAGAAGAAAAACCAAAGGAGAAACATGAAGGTGCCATTAGTGTAGAAGGCAAAAAGTTCGCTGAAGAGCATGTTGAACATGAGCACGCTCATGCTCATACCCCTGTTGCAGTCGCTGCTGCTGCCGCCTCCTTTTCTGATGAAGGAAGTGCCCATGAAACAGAAAAAAAATACGAAGGACAAGTTTTGAAAAAACTTGAGGATACCTCGGCCACTACCGAAGAAGATAAGTCCCAGGAAATAAATAAGAAACCCAGCGAAGAGTCCAAGGAATCGGAAGAATCCAAGGAATCAGAGGAATCCAAGGAAATTAAGAAAAATTAGAATTGAGTCTTAGGCTTAAGTCGCAGGCAACACACCTAACCTCTAAATGTTACTAACATCTAAACCATATTGGAAATAACCCCGAAAATCCTCGCACCTAAAGCCTCTCTTCCTTCTCCTTATCCTTCTTCCCCTGCCATCTCTCGTTCAAATGCAATTGTGCATTAGGATGACAAATAAACTCTTAACTTTAACTAGTTAGTTATTATGTAGTTGTATACAAATAAAGAATCGCTTAAAAAGACGGATAAAATGAAGAGGAAAAGAAAAAAGCTACAAAACTCACAGAAAAACAAATGACAAAACTTTTACTATTATACAAATCTATAGAAGTTACGAAATCTAATAAAAAGATTAAAAGAGAGTAGTAGTACTAGTAGTAGTAATAGTAGTAGTAGTAGACAATAAGATAATACATAATCATTTTCGCAGCAACAACAATAGTAAGAATATAACTATAACAATAAAGCGAATTCACTTATAAACCAATCCACCCACAACTTGAACTACAATAGTAATTTATGTTTATTAGTGACTTCTAGAATAGTAGTACAGTGATATACTTTTTATATGCAACAGAAATGCCCACGCACCCCTTCCTCTTAATATAGACTCTCCTATTCTCACAAACACCAACACTTTATATATATATATATATATATATATATATGCATACACTTACTCACACTCACTCACACTCGCTCACATTACAACTAACTATACACCTTGACACACGCCTACGTACACTAATGAAAGAAAACAATTTCAATTAAAAGCACAAACAATAAAACAGTTGATCAACTGACAACAGCAGCAGCAGCAACAACAATGATAAGAACAACAAGGACAAACCGTTATGATGGCATATACATGTAGAAAAAAAACAGAAGAAGAAAAAAAAAAAAACCACAATATACTTATAATTATAATTCTTATTATTCCAATTTGTCTCATATGCATACATATTTATAGAAAAAATAATTTGCATAAACACATCAAAACGATAGAAAAGAGGAAAATAATAGATTTCGTCACAATTTTCTCAATTTTGTTTTAATTCTTTTAATCGATTTGCGTGAAAAATTGTACTAAGCCCACTGTATTATTATTAATGTAATTTTGAAAATACAAAACTATGAGAACAACAACAACAACCAACAACGATAACAACAACAAATCAAGCGAATTATTAAATATCGAAATTCTTGCTTTTTTCTTTTTTTTTTTTTTTCGTCTTAATTTAGTATTTTTATGTAAAACCAACCCATTCTCTGCTGGCAAATGCAATCATTTTCTTTTTTTTATTATTATTATTATTATTATTATTATTATTATTATTTTTTAAATCAAAGAAAATAAGATTCGTTAGCACGGACTTCTCAATACATGAATACCGCTAAAGGTAATTATATGGGAAAGTTACTATCATTACTCTTAAACTAGAGCCACGATCAGTACATGTTTCCTATCGCTTGGAATTTATGTATTTTGAGAATTCAACAAATTATTAGACGATAATAGAGATAAACATATTTGTACGATTGATTTTTATTTTTTATTTTACTTTATATAGACTGAAGATTGATTTTGAAATAAAAATGTAATAAAATATAAAAAAACAAAATTAAAAGTGATGGTGTGACTCTCTTCACAATTACGATGCATTAAAAATGCATGAACGTGATCGTAAAAGACAAAAAAGTTATTACTTCCGGCGCGAAGTACTTGGCCGTCTTACCGTTAAACAAGGTAAGATCACAACACAATAAGCTAATGTGAAGCAATTTTTTCAAAAGTTAGTGTGCGCACTCATACTTATATTTAATTATGTCTATATAAAAATTACCTCTCGACTACGGTAACGGCGATATGAAATAATGTTTTCAGAGACCCAGAACTTCTCTCACCTGCTCTGTTGCAAAAGATGTACCTCAAACGGACACAGAGCCAACTAGATCTAGTGAGTCGATATCAACGACATGTCCGTTCAAGAACAGAAACTTTTCGACTTGGCTTCCCATAAAATTGATTGATTTTTACGGACAAGTAAGGAAAGATATGAAGACCCATGGACACAAAAATAGCGCTGAATTCGGTAAGGTCTATACTTCCTGACTTGAAAGTCGAGTATCTTTAAGCTATACGTAACTTAATAAATTATCATACTAAAGCGTATAGAACATAGTTTCTTGGAGGTTACAATAGCTGTTGCTCTACGGCATAGTTTTCCCGCTTTATACAACAGATAATGCTACCAAATCGTTAAGACTGATTGACGATGTGAGCATTACGACATCCAAAGGCCATGATGCAGATCATGATGCAGACTAGGCGAACCATTAACATCAACTATAGACATGGAACAGGAGACATTTTAGCGTGATATATTATTGTTTGTTCGAACCAAACAAAACCATTACTAAGTGTTACCAACAATAGTTAATAGCGCAATCGCGACAAAAAATGGCACTGCTACGCCAAAAGTCGATATTGCGAATTTTCAATATGAAGAAACTCGGCTATATATACAGGGAATCTCACTCAGGAAATGTTTGCAGTTCTAAACTGAAATGACCTGCTGTCCTCGCTATTATCAGCGCACGTTGCCCTTTCTGTTTAACAGGGTTTTCAATATATGACTCGTTCTTTGTTCTTTGTTCTCTGTGCTTCCATTCTTATGACGGTACCCAAATGAAGGATAATGTCAAAAGACCACTTGTGCTCTCAGGGAATACATATTGTTTGTGAAAGATGGCTGAAATAGTGACAAGCGATGAATAATATCTTGGATACTTGAATGTGTAACCAATTTTTACAAAACACTGATTGTTCATTGCAATGAAAAGAGAATAAACAAGCCAAAGTGGGAAAATCCACTGCCTTCATTGCCAAAGCAATTTCGCGCAAAAACAAGTGAGCCCCACTTAAAGAATGCATTATAGACATGTCCGATATGTCGGCAAGAAGATGATTAAATGTGCGCAGCTATCTGGATGGACGAGTGAAAAGAGACCTCTCGGGCCAAACTTCTGGAAGTGTTTGTCAATCAATTTTTTTTTTCTTACACAAACCTTACATATTTCTAAAGCATTTTCTGAAACAATCTAAGCTCGTCTGTCCATATATTCTTATGCTCAACCTACAGATTGCAGTTGCTAAGATATTGATTGCACTTTGACCTAACTGTATTGCAAATGATTACGATCGTTCCATTCTCTCGACCAACTCGACTGTCGTTGTATGGAAAAAGATTTCAATCCTCAAAATTTTTCGGGAAAAATCGTTAGGTAACAGTATGTCGCTATTCTGAATCGGTACGAAAAATTTGGTTTAAATGGGGTAAAGAAATAAAGAAACCATATCTGATTTTCAATGTTTCATGAAAAATTCGTGAGAATTGATTCATAATAGTAAATTGACAATTGAAATAATAGGAAATCAACCCTGCCGAATGTGGACCACGTATGCACATTTTCTTCTCAAGGATTCTCAAGGATATGCTGTATACCAAAGAGTCCTTGTATACCAAAAAGCTCTAATTATTAACGAGAAGGCCTAACTCTAAAATACAACCCTATCTGTATGCTCACTTTTTTTTGTATTTTGTATTGATCGATATCATCTTCTCAGCTTAAGAATATTCGTGAAGCAATAAACTTGAGCTATTTTCGCAATTTAAAGCAAATCTTTAGTTTTACATTGTGCCGAATGGCACATCCAATTAACCTTTAAATACATAGCGATGCAGATCTGCATCGTATGTTTGAAATCTCATATTTCTTTATGTAGCAACCTTTGCAGAGTGTTTTTTTTTTTTAATTTTAATTTTACCAAACCTATTTTCTCGTTTCCGAACGCAACCAGAATCTTTGACAGTTTATTTCTTCGCCTGCGACTATTTTCAGTGTTGGTGCGCTATCTGAGTGCAATTTCATTTCGGCGGATGTTACGCACTACGATTATTTTAAAATAATTATATTAAAAGTAGCACAAACATACAATTGGAAAATTGTATTCGGATCGAAACAAGATAAGCATGACATGAATGATGTTTATATTTTCGCCTACAGCGATAAATTTGTACAAGAAAAATACAGTTTTTCGGTGACGTAAAAATACCTCAATACGAAAAATCGGTTCTAAACAAGTTCACTTATGCTAAAGTTGTTTTGTGAAACGCTTGTTACCATATTTCCATATTTTTTTATTCTTTTTCAAGTAATTGTATTGTTGTTTTAATAATTATATAACTGAAATGTGGCTGCACAATTTTGACACTAATTAATTACGAGTTGACGTTTTTACATAATTTATGAACAACATCTTTCGAGATCATCCAAATCACGATCGCCTACACAAGATCAAACCTGTAATAAACCACTTAAATGATGAAACATTTTCATCTATACCTATCGATCAACGCCTCTCAATGCACGAACGAGCATGTTTAACAAAAATAGTTCAGTTCCTGGGCCAAATAAGTCCACCAAGTGGAACTACTAGCTATTTGTTTTATGTAGTCTCAGGTTGCGTATGTATACCGCTTCAAAGGGCGCTCTAGACAAAAAGGCAAAAGAAATAGATTAGCAGATGAGACATTACGATTAGCCAGAATAATACTAAGAATAAGGAATCTTATAATGTTTTTCGATCATTTTTACACATCATTGCCGCTAGCATACTATTTGTCGAAACAAGGGACACATTTTGCCGGAACTGTATAATGAAATAGATTGTGTAATTGTAGACTCCCAGACTAGAAGGACTTAATAAAGCCGACTGTTGCGAGGGCAACATATGACGTAAGAATTTTTCACAATGATGGTGTTTTCTTTTTAATGACTTCACGGAAGGCAACAAGCTTGTTACTCTCCTGTCTACTTATGTTGTCTCGCAGCCCATACACAATATCTGTCGATATGATAAGCGGCTAAAGCCAAAAACAGTGCAATAGTTTAATATGCACACGGAAAAAGTGGACTTGATGGATAGCTCGACATAAGTCGTTGCCATATAATAGTCAAAAGCCGCAAATTGTACCTCTACTTATTCTATCGTCTAATTATGAAAAAAACTCTATTGTAAAGAGTATTCCGAACAAACTACTACCAAATCTTGATTAGTTCCGCAACGATTTAGCCGATGCTCTTTACTATGTGACATCTCATATAAAGCGCAATAAAAGAGGTCAGCCTAGTAAGTTTACAGGCGAAAAAGCGCTCATCTCATCCTTTGCCATCTATGAATGTACGAAAAGACGACGTTGCTCACAGATTGAGGTATAAAATTCCACTATACAAGGGTACCACACATCGGTCCCACAGCAAATGCAATGTTCCTTTATGTTAAAGCCTTTGTGTGATCAAGTCGTCCTAGAAACTACAAACGGTGCAGCTCGTACGAAGCTCCTTTCGGAAAATATAACGCTAGAGAAAAGGCTTAAGATATGTCAAGTCACTGACCAAGCACAAAAACACGCAGCTGAAATCCAAGATCAACGCAATGAAAACATCAATTCGCTTAAACATTTTAATTAGGTGAAAAGTCTCAGTGCAGCAGGTGTGGAAAATTCATGCTATGCGTGATTAAGGTGATTACCCTACCTTTGGCTATGAGTGCTGTAACGAGTTTTCTTTGGCGGAGCAAGTTCAGGGATTCCCAGGACTCCTTCCAAGAAATTTACATAAAAGAAAAATAACTTCGACCTCCGGATTTTGTTGTTATTATTTATTTATTCCTACGGAATTTACAGTAGATAAGCGATTTTAAGGGGAGCGGGAGAAAAAAACCAGCGTGGTGACCCGACACTTGCTTTGGTTCGTCCCGAAAGATTATTATTATTTTGTTTACGATTTAACCGTATCGCGAGATTCTGTAAACGAAAAAGAATACGCCGCAGGTGTTACAGCAGCCAACCTCGGCCTATAGGGTCACCTGTCCGCCCCTAACCGTTTCACTTCGCAAGAGAGAGTGCATTAGTCATTAAGGAAT